GTCTTCTTGCCTTTATCTCTAGGCCCTGGGCTTCCAAGGGCAGGGATTGTTTTGCTCACATCCACATGATTCCATCACAGAGTTGGGAGTTTGTTGCAAAAAGGAAGGGCAGGGAAGGAAATTGCTTGTATGTCATAAACCAGCTGGGCCCCAGAGAACGGAAACCATGTCCTGGTTCCTCTCTGTGCACCTCAAGTCCTCTAGGTGAGGCAGAAACAAGCCTGGTTGGTCCTCGGCAGACAGGGTGGCTCTGGGTCACCCACCTGTGTAGCGAAGGAGCGTGGGCTAGTGCAGGCCTTGAGAGTAAGCCAGCCTGCACCCCAGACTACAGGCCAACCCTGCGCATGAGCACTGTCATACCTGTGCTACCTCGCTCCCTGGGCCCCCTTTGGCATACATGTCCCACTCAGGCTGCTGTCCAGGCCCATACCAGACCCTGGACTTGAGGCAGTGGACACAGGGCACATGACCTCAACCCCCTGTGTGGTGAGCAGGGCCGTGGCAGAGACCAGGTCTGCGGTGCTGCAGTGCTGAGAGGAGGGGCCCCCAAACCCCAGGGAAACTGGCCCTCTTGTGGGGGAGGGTTCCCAGGCATAAAAAACAGTATCCCAAGGCTAGGAGGCTCCTATATTACAAAATGTCCAGCAGTGGCACTACCAGCAAGTGAGGTCGAAGGTGAAGGGCCTTGAACTCTCTGCTTTATACTGTGGGTCAGGGTTCTCTAACTGGGGCCCTACCGTGCATTCTGGGGAGGTCAGTGAGGACACTTTTACTTTGGATCCTGAGTTTTCAATGCCTGTGGAGTATTTGTTTCTGGGCTCAGCATTTCCCAACCCAAGCTGGGACACTGTGTTGCTTGGGGCAGCTTCACATTACTCACATTTCTCTCTTCTAAGCAACAGGAGGCCAGAACGTTTGAATGCAGAGGAGGGGGAAGCAGAGGAGGCCTCTTTCTCTGGCCAAGGATGTCCAAGCCTGCTGGGAAATTCTTGCTGTCATCTTGTTGTTTTCATTGGCTTGATTCTTGTATCTGTTGGCACTGGTATGGCCCGGACAGCCTCCTCCAAAGCTGACCCTCACCACCCCACGGAGCTCCCAGCCTTTCCTCATCTCCCCATTTCACAGTCTTACCCTGGTGGTCATAATGCAGTGGTCTCCCTTCTTTATTTTACATCTTGAGCTTTTAACCTGTTTGCCTTTGTAAACTGGGGCTGCATTGTTTTCACTTCTACTGGTAAGCAAAGAGAAGGGCAACAGTGAACTTAAGTCTGTCCCCATGTCCCATCACATGTGGCCCCATTCCTATATTATTTCTGTGTGTTTACATCTAAAAATTAACTTTTGCCCTGGCTGGTGTAGCTGAGTTGGTTGGAGTGTCGTCCTGTGCACTGAAAGGTAGCAGGTTTGATTCCCAGTCAGGTGTGGATTCAATCCTGGGTTGGGGCACGTGCAGGAGGCAACGATTCGATGTCTCTCTCTTCCTCTCACTCTAAAAATCAAATTTTTAAAAAAGAAAGAGAGACTTTATTTTTCTGGGGGATAAATTTGTGCAATTTATTCCCAAAGAAAAGTTTCCCAGCCTGGATGCTATGGAGAGGAAGAAAGGAAGGGGAAGAGTGAGGAGCCTGTCAGGAGCAGGTGGCACTGGGAGATGACTACCCAGATGTGTATATTAGTAAGGAGGGCTGCGGAGTCTAACCCGGAGGGGCAATGAGTGGAAGACCTATGGGACTCTTTGGATTTGGAGGGCTGTGAGTAGGAGGCGGGAGTCTAGCGGACCCTTGGGGCCATGGGTTTGTTTGACCGATAGGACCTTTGCTAGCATATAAACTGAGACAAGCAGGCTGGGAAGAAAGGGGCCAGGTTTGAGGTGGAGTAGGTGGTTCTTAGCTGGGGGAGAGGAGGTGGAGTCCCACCTTGGGGTGGAGGATGGGGATGAGTGACACCATCATCCAGATGTGAGAGAAGTGGGGTGGAGGAAGGGAGGGATGACGAGCTTGGGCTCCAGAATCCCTCTATGACCCCATCATTCATTCTCAGGCAAAGGACTACCCCTCCCCAAGCCTCAGTGTTCCCATCTGTAAAATGGGAGTTTATCCTGGCTCCCAGGAGTGTTGCAGGTAATGTACAGGGACTCATAACTAGTAAGCCCTCTGCCTTCCTATGGTTACTGTGAGGAAGAGCCCTTGAGGCTGGAGCTATGCCTGGGATGGTGAGGTCAGTGGCCTGTGCCGTCTACAGTGCCTGTCTTCCAGCCGGACCTTAGGAGGCCTGGACTCCTGCTGTTGGAGAGTACTTATAAGGCTTGACTACATCCCAAACTCCCAGTTGTCCTGGATTAACCCTCTGCCTCCCTCTGCCCACACCCTGGGGCACCCCACAGCCTCTCAGGAGCCCTTCCTGCTCCCCCTCTGGTCCATCTCTGAAATAGCCCAGGGCCAGCCCTCTCCTGCATGTGGGTCCTGCTACCAACCTCTCCAGGCCCTTTTCTTCCTTCCCCCAACAGGTGACCCTTCTCCCCTCTCAATACCACTTCTAGGCTCACAGCCCTGCTGCCATCACTTCCTCACCTCCTGAATGTCTAGATCCTGGGTCAAGTTGAACCCCCTCACTTGCCACATTCACTTGCCTCAGTGGCCTGGTCCTAGTGTCCCTCTCCTGCCCCCCACTGGGCGTGCTGGCCATCTCTGCCAGGAACATGCCTTCCTTCAGAACATCCATACAGCTGCTGCTCCTGGATCCATCTGAAGCCGTTTCTCTAGGTTCCCCCACATCAGATCACACCAGCCCAGCCAGGGTTGTACCTCCCACTTACTTGTGCCCCCTGAACTGTGTGTGAAACTGGGTTGCCCTGACCTTTTGCCCTGAGCCCTGGGCTTGGTGTGGCACCTGCTGTGTGATGCTTGGAGGTGCAGGAGACCTGTTAGTCAGCACTGAAGGGCCCTAATACCCCACAGCAGGATGCTGAATGCTCTCTGTTTTTGCTGACCCTCATGTCTTTCCCTAGTGTGAATCCTCACTGGAACCCTGGCAGCAGGCCCCCTGGAATGCTCTGGGCATGTCCTCTGGAGCCCCAGAGCAGAGCAGCCAGATGGCAGAGGAAACCCCCAGCTTCCTGGATGAGTTTCTCCGAGACTTCCCAGCCCCACTGAGCCCAGAGATCCCTTTGCCGTGGAAGATCCCAGGGACAGCACTGAGCGAGGAGGAGGTGGAGGGCGAACTGGCCGAGTTGGCGGTGGGCTTCCTGAGCAGCAGGTAGGCCATGCACCCACTGGGAGGGGACAGCACAGGACAGGAGGAAGGGGCATGGCATATGCCACATGCTGACCTTGAACCTGGCATTTATCCCACATATCCTGCCCTGTGCAAATTATGTTCCCCATGTGAATCCCTGTGACAATGCTGTGTTGGTTTCCAAAGGCAGCTGTAACAAACTACCACAGGCTGCATGGCTTAGAGCAACACAAATGTATTGTCTCAGCTCTGGAGGCCGGCAGTCAGAGATCGCGGTGTCAGCAGGGCCATGTTCTCTGACAAAGGCTGTCTAGAAGACTCTATTCCAGACCCTTCTCTTAGCTTTTGGTGTCATCTGCAGTCCTTAGTGTGCCTTGACCTGGAGACACACCACTCCAATCTAGTTTTCATTGTCACATGGCATGGTATCTTCCCATGTGCCTGTTTTCACGTGGCGTCTCTTCCTGTCTTTCTGTGTGTCTTCTCTTCTTATGAGGATGCCAGTCCTATTGGATATGGGGCCCACCCTGCTCCAGTATGACCTGCAAAGACCCTAATTCTGAATAAGGTTACATCGTGGGCCACTGTAGGTTAGGACTTCAGCATGTCATTTTGGAGGACACAGTTCAGTTCACGATAGGTGCTAAGTAGTAGGTCCTGTTTTACTGATAGGGAGACAGAGGTCAGATGGGTTATACCTCCATGTTGAAACAGGTTAGGGCCTGGCCATGGGCCCAGCTGCAGGCCATGCTGTCCCACAGAGAGGTAGTGGTGCTTCCCCCATTTCTCAGACGAGGAAGCTGAGACACAGAAAGGGATCACAACCAGCTTAGCAGATTTCAAGAGTGATATGGGAAAGCTCATGGCGTGTGAGCTGGCAGGCCATGTGGTATTCATGTGAACTTCATCCGTCCTTGAGGGACCACACCTATAGCCCCTAGTCACTGCATCATCCCTAAAATCAGGACATGGCTCTGTCCTCGGTGTGCTTCGTTTACAGTAGGTCAGCTCCATTCCCACACACCTGCCCCCCACTAGCAGAGTTACCCACTCCGCAGCATGGGAGCCTGGATCGCTGAGCACAAAGGCCCCAGTTGTGGGCTTACTTCTGGGCCACTCCCATCCCAGCATCCCCCATGGCCCCACAGAGCTCAGGAGAAAATGCCCAGTGACCATATCCCTCAGGGAATGGCATGTATAGAGGGGGTTGTCAGCATGTTTGACTTTGAGGAAGTATTTTAGAGGCAGGTGGAGCAGAGCGGGCCTGGGACCTGACACCACCATATTGGGGGTGCTGGATGGGTGCTAGAGGTGTGGGAGGTGGGAGGGCTCCCAGAGTTCTGCCTCCCTCAGGGCCAGGAGCAGGAAGAACAGGAGGAGAGGGAGCCAGCCAGGCTCAACAGTGCACTCATGGGAGAAGGGAAATCGAGGGGCCCAGGGGGTTCAGGGATTGTGGGAGGAAAAGCAGGCTCGGGAGGATTGGTACCTCTGTTGACCAGGGCTTGAGGAGAACAAGAGGACCCAGCACACTGCTGTACCAAGGATAATGTTTCCAGAGGGACAGAGAGAAACAAGCTGGGGACCAAGGTAGGAAAGCTGCCTGGGTGACAGCAGAGCCCCAGGTTAGCTGGGCCTCTGGGCAAGGGGCACAGCATTAGAAGAGGGATTTGCCACAGCTTGGGGCTAACTTAAAGGTCATTTCTCAGGTCAGGGAGGGAGAGGGCTCAGAGAAGGGATGTGCAAGGATGGGGAGGATCCAGGATGGGTGGGGCTGTTTTTGCTTCACAGCAGTGGAAATGGGGGGGGGACAGTAGAGGAAGAGGAGGGTGACCGAGCAGGAGCAGGTGACCACCCTCCTGCCCAGAGAGAGGTCTGAGCTGGAGAAGTCAGGAGTTGTTCCCCAGGGTGTGTGGGGCATAGGGCTTTGGGGGGGAGCAAGTTTTAGTTATGATGGAGGGCAGGTGTCTCAGGGTAAATGTAGGGAAAAACAGGACTTAGGTGGAGTGGGGCTCCTCAAGGCCCTGGCAACAGGCGAGGCTGAGAGGGCAGGAGGTGGCAGCAGGCGTGGGCTCAAGTGTTAAATGGGCACCCCGTTAATTAACAGGATGACAGAGCAGGCCTGAGACTATTAATGACAGAAGAGACCAGTGTCACAGCCCCCTGGCCTAAGACTGGAGCAGGTGGTACTGGGCTCTGTGAATCTGCCTTAAAGCACCTTAAAATGTAATATTTCAAAGTATTATATTTCCCAGCCATCTTAGTGGATTTATTTTCAGTTATATTTGTCCTTTTCTAGTTGTTCTTTCCTATGTAGCCACAGATGTTCACATGTTGTCTACACTTCTTGTGACTGTCAGGAGCACCCCACACATGTTCCCCCCAGCTGGTTCCTATTCCTGGAGCTCGAGTGTGCGGGCTCTTGGGTGAAAGGGATCTTGAGCATATTGGTCCATGGAGTTTTTTCAGATTTTAAATGATATCCTTTATGAAACTGTCTGGAAGTCAGATCACCGAGTTCAAGGGTGTGATAATTTACATCCTGTCTTTCCCCTGTTGTTAGCAGTTCTGTGTCATATCTCAGGTCCCCAAGCAGTGCATTCCTTGCACTATATTATTTATGTGCCTTTCATCTCTGCTGCTAAACTGGAAATGCCTTTTAAATTCCAAAGTGGGTGGGACTAGAGTGTTCATTGGGTCCCCGGGCCTTGCACACACACCTGTCCCGTTCACTGCATCTTCTGGCCACTTTAGGAGTCCCGACTGGTGCAGGGCCTGAGTGCCTTGTGAGTGTATTGGGTGGGAACCCCTGGATGAAACGGAGAGGTATCCAGGAAGCAAGCCTGTGGCCCAAAGCCAGACATTGTCTTGGTCCCCACGGCCGGAAGCTCAGTGGCCTCAGCAGTAGGACTTCAGAGGGCCTGCAGGAAGACACAGCTCAACCTCACCAGGAGAACAGGCGCCCTTTCTCCCTGCTGTGAGAAAGGAAAACCCGGTGGTGGGCAGGAAATCCCCAAATAGCAGAGGAACTCATTTCTCATGTCTTGGCTGGTTGTTTTTCAAGGGCAGTGCCAGGGGCTTCTTCCCCTGAGTCACCCTCTCATTCATCCCAGTAGATTCCTAAGACTAGCTATAGACACCACAAATGCCTAGTCCCAAAGGGATGTGACCCATCCGCCAGGCTGATGGGAGGTCCTTGGCCTCAGGGTGAAGCTCAGAGTGCCAGCCCAGCAGAGAATCACAGGCCACCTGAACTGGACCTTGATCCCCAGCCCTCAGGGAAAGGCACAGGGTGGTGAGCACATGTCCTCCAGCCTGCAAGGGGCTCCCACTGGTGAGGAGACAGATTCTGGGGTCAGGATATGTTCTTTTTTTTTT